CTAAACCTCTGTCCTGAGAACGTTTGATTAGTGTAGAGGGGGCTTTACCCTGTATCTAACCCCGTGCTGTCCCTGTGCGAGGGTGATCGATCTGTGGGGGCGGGGGCGACGGTGTGGAGCGATCGGCCGCGACCTATTTTCACAGGATCCGGTCGTCCTCGTGAAACCCCGTTGGATGCTGCGTACCTCCCCGATCCCACCCTGCTCCGACTGATCTGAGATAACAAGGTGCGGAGCTGGACGAGCGCAGAGGGCCAGGCAGCGCCAGAGGAGCAGGAAAGCCGACGTTTCGGGTCTGGACCCTTCTTCAGAAAACGCTCTGATTCCTGCTCCTCTGATGCTGCTCAGCCTGCTGCGTTCCTCCAGCTCCGCACCTTGTTACCTCCGATTCTCCAGCCTCGGCAGCTCCTGCGATCTCCGTCTGATCTGATTTTGTTTGTGTGTAGACTTGCCAAACTCCTTACACGAGCTGCACTTGGATCACAACAACATTGAAGCGATCGAGCTGGAAGATCTGATTCGTTATAACCACATACAGAGGTAGGTTTGCGCGCTGCTCCAGCGACCCGAGTCCTCGTCGACAGTCAGCAATTTGCGGAACACCCCCGAGCGTGCTGCAACTCCTTTTTATTTAACGTTTTGCCTCCCTCGCAGGGTTCAAGTCCACCTCAAATCAACTGATTTACGGCCCTGTGTCTCTTGCTTTAAAGCTGCCCCCATTTCAGCAGCTAATCTGCCTCCTGCTCCCCCCAACCCCCACCTCCACCACCAGCACCATCCCATAACTCGTTTGGGATCCTTCCGTTTGTCCTGATTTTCGAGTGACAGGCCTGCTTTCCCCCTGTTCTGCGGGGACGCTCCTCACCAACAAGGTCCAGGGGGTTTGTAAGCTGCCCCGCACCCACCCCCCCCCCCCCCGCCTCTAGTGGTCAGGGTCTGCAACTGCCGCGTGACAGTTTACATAGAAAATTATAATGGTCGAATGGGAAAGGGGAAAAGAAATGACGCCAGGGGAGGGATATCCAGATTAGTTTTGGTCATGGTATTTTCTTTCTGGACACAGTTACAGGTTTAATGCATAGTTTGCCATTCACGTCAACAAGAAAATTTAAGTAAGTTGTAAGAAAGGTATAGCTGTAACTATTATGAATGCCAACGCTGGATGGAGCAACTAGAGCAGACACAGTCCTGTCCTTTTCCCCTAGTCCACAACCGCACCGCCCCCCCACCCTGCCCACAAC